GCAGTTCTGGGAAAAATATCACATCCATTCCCTCCCCCTTGTTGGTAACACAAGGATGGTGTGGGTACGGCAGTTGAGGGGAGCTGGAGGGGTGCACATGTGATCGTTTCAACTACTGTTAAAACGCTGCCTCCCTTTATTAAATCTTATTTCCTTAGTCTTAGCTGGTCTATGAATTTGTGCTTATCTACATAGTTGCCTAGTAAGCATGTAACCAATGGGAAAACACACACACATAAGCACACATGAACTATAATACCTGGAGAAGTATGGCACACTCAGCAGGAAATCAATAAATATCCATTTCATTGGAAATGGAATCAAAGTAGGAAGAAGTCAGAATTCTTAATATGAATCTGCCACAGGGAGTTACTAGCCCTGGGTAATAGAGGGCATGCTCTGTAAGGACAAACACATACAGTACATATTTAGAGACAATTCTCATTTCATTTAGGCCCTAGGCCTAGGATCCTCACTAATTTACAAGGCTGTTCTAGGAAAGATGCAACTTTAGGGATGACAATAAGTCTATGGCACTTGCTTTTCCTGCAGGGGAAGCTATAACGCATTCCCACCCTTCAAGAGAAACCAAGATTGATGATTTGGGAGTTTTGCTGGTTAGTGTGTTTTTCTTTCCTGTTTTTTTTTTTTTTTCAGCTCAGAAGGTGTGTTTCCATTGTGCCCTGTCAAAAATTTTCCCAGCAGTCAGGGAGAGGTTAGCAGCACAGCTGCCCTTGAGCCAAGTTTGCAAGTCCTACTGGGAAACCATGCTGTCAGATGACGTGGTTTTCAGACACATCTACACAGACTAGTTGAATTAAAGACAAACTCCAGACTTGATGTTGCTGAGCTCCTCAGCTCCATCTTGCCATCCTGATTGATCGAGGAGATGGGTCTATAGTTAAAGTGGCATAGCACTTTCAGGCCTTAGTCATTAGAGCACACTGCTTTCTCTTTGGAAGGCAACTTCTTTCTTGGCTAGGTTATAGAAGCTAAGGAGTGACGTCAAGATGTTGTCTGGCCAGAATTTGCAGATAACCATAGAACTCTTCTCCTCCATCAGGCATGGACTTAGCCTCCTTTAGTTCCTGCAGTGACACAGGAGCCTCCAAATACCAAATTATTATCAGGCGATGTTGGGGGAACCTCTGGGCCCTGCAATAAAGTAGACAGACTTGCTATTGGAAAGTGCTCGGGAGCAATTCAGCCCTGTTCAGATTGCTCTAAAATCCTGCAAACCATCTCTGGACTTTGTAAATGAAAACTTCACATAGCTCCTGAGAGTGAAAAAGTACTGCCGGGGATATAACTGATCATCCTTCTCCGCTTAAATGATCTTACACATCACTTAAAGAAATCTGGTTTGATCATGTTATTTTGTTTGTTGTTTTGTTTTGAAAGCAAATCTGTGCAAATATGGAGGTTGTGTCATTTTGGACCAGCCGCTTCTGAGCACTGTCTGTAAAATAAGGTGTTCATATTCATTGATCTCTAAGGTCTACCTCAAGGGGTCACAGGCAGGTGGTGGGCTGTGGACCAAATCCAACTTGTGTTGATGTATTTTGTTGATCTTATCCGGTGTTTTGAATCTTGGGGAATTCACATGCAAGAATAAATATCTGTTTTCTCTGGACAAATTGGAGTATCTGGTAATACCAGCCCCATGTACCAGCATGGCATTCACTACCCCATGTCATCTTTCTGATCTGGCCTGTTTCTCATATTGACCTGCCTGGTCCTGGTAGGTACCTGGGGTTTAGGACCCCTGATCTAAGTTATCCTATCACAGTACCTTGTGATTATATGACGATGTCTTAACCATTGGCCTCTCCAATGAGATGTCCTGAGGGCAAGGAACATGCCATCATTATTAGTGAGTCTCCACTTCCTGGCATTGGAGGACTATTGTGGTTAGTCAATAAAGATTTAATGAATTGAACTTCACCTTCTATAATAGATTCTCACAATTCAGTGAAATGGGACTGGGACCAAAATCATACATATATTCTAAAGCCAACATCTTTGAACAGCATGTAGCCTTGGGAAAGGGAAGTAAATATGCTGGTTTGTGGCCTAAGCCTCTGATGGGTCCAGAGGTTGGGGGTGTATCATCCCTGTGATATTTTGCTTTAAGCACATGGGAAAAGTTCTAAACTTTTTCTGAGATCCTCTTAAATTTGTTTTTCGGGTGTAACCTATCAAACTTCTTGGAAGAGCCCTTCTTTAGAAATTCTTTAGAGGTTAATTTGTAAAAATATTCAATGGAAATCAGTTAATTGAAAGCTAACCTCCCAAAATTTTGTGGACCTATAGCAACAGATCCTATGCATTTTGAAATATTTTAATTTCTGGATGACTACAATTAGAATGTTCAAAGAATAGTTTTTTTGTTTTGTTTTGTTTTTGTTAAAAGCTTATTCCTGCTAAAATTATTATCTAAATCTGTTTAAATTGAATAATATATTGTTAAAAATCTGTCTAGTAAATGAACTACTACTATGTAGGTGAGCTTAGTAGGAATAGAGACACTGAAAAAGGCTATGACTCAACTTTACTTGTTACAGTCTGTTAATAATATTTCAGTAATAAGTAGCCACATCTGGTCAACATCTGGCCAACATCAAAGGTACAGCATGTCCCATGCTATGAAGGAAGAGTCCAACAGATAGAATTTCTACTCTCCAGGAGCTTACAATCTAACCTAAATAGACTACAGAAACACAGACATGAGAGTGGTCATCCTCAGGGCTCAACACAAGTCAACAGATATACTGAAGGTAGAAGAAAAAATATGGAGTAAAGAATGACATTTTAAGAAAGGGTGAAGGGAAGGAGACAAGTGAATTGTTTTCAATTCCTATTTCTTTGAAAAAGGATTCATGGAAGATATGTGATTTTAAGTGTTCTTAAAATCGTGAAAGACCATATGGCTTGATGCCTAGAAGAAAGAAAATTTCTTCTGTTGTAAGATGCTGAGTGACTGAAAACACTGAGCTGAGTGAGGATGGTTGGGTGAAGGACCCAGCAAGACTTTATAAAGAAGGAACCGGCAGATGAAGAATCAGAGGTCTGGAGCCCTCTGGTAGAGGACAGAAGGTGAGGGAAGGCTACAGGTCTCCTCAACTAGCCTTAATTCCTTCTAAGTGGGGGTGGCATAGAGTGGCTGAGCCATGAAAGCAAGACTCCTCCAAAATATCCATAATTTCTAATCTAAAACCTTTTCAAAAATATCCATGGATTCTACAGTTAGGAAATCAGCTTTGGAAGCTTTCTTATGGGATTTCTAAGGCAAAAAAGCACTTCCAGCTCGAACCACAGACTCAGCAGCCATCTAGCTTTCTTCTATAGAATCTCTTTTTTGTTTGTTTATTTTCTTTCTTGCTCACTTGTTCATTTTTTCTTGTTGAACTCATTGGGCTGATCCTATCTACGTGATTATTCTGCTTTATCTTTCCTCCATTGACCAAGGAAAGCAAACTTTTGAGAGCAGGTTGGTTTTAGTCAACCTCAATTATAATACGGCCTCAAGCTAACTGAAGTACATCATACAGCTTGGTACTGGTGGTGACAGGGGTGTCAAGGTACTCTGTTCATAAGGAGAAAATCAAAATGATGACAGATTCTCCCATCATCGTATCTTGCTTTGCCTTATTCAATATTTGGTTGTTATGCATGCCAGAGCATTTAAAGGACCTTTGAAGGACGCTTATCCTAACAAAGAATGCACATTTTAAGCAACACCTCCATACATCTTGTTCACAACGTAATGACAATATTAGGATTAATGATATCTTGATTTCAAATAATACCTTTTATTTCAAGGAGTTCAATATTCTTCACATATGCTATTTTAATTATCTTGTCATATTACTCCTTCAACTGAAATCTATGGGGGGTTCCCAGTCTCACACATTATAAGCTTGTAATACTGTTCTTCCTAATGATTCAATTCAAATCCAATATTAAATATACCTTGGGATAAATTTCAATGAATAGGAAGAAATTACAAGTATTTCCTTATATGTGAACAGGTCTGATTCTCATTGCTAAGTCCCCTTATCCCATGAGAGTTCTCAGTGGAAAGTCAGCCCCCAAAGCCTAACCTTGCAATAGTCCTATTTTACCTCTGGGGCAGGCCAGGAGAACAACATGTAAGATGGGTAAGAACACACAAATAGATATGAGGTACCCATTCATCAGTTCCAGGGAACCCCTGGGCCCTGGGCCACCTGATGTTAGCCCCTTATTCATGTATGAGAGAAGGTCTAGGGTTACAAGAGTATAAGCCTATTTGTCCACAGTGGTTTTATTTTTTGTTGTCCTTAAGGCTGAGTTCCACTTTTTATATATGCGCAGTGGCTCAGAAGATAGGATTAGATTCTCTGAGAAAAATCCCAAGCTTTGCAACAGAGATTAATGAGGTAATTTGGTTCTGAGAAATATAAGTGAGCATACTTAACATGCATATCATTTATTCTAATGTCTCTTTGCTCTCATGGCATCCTGACAGTCCCATGCTGGGAGCTAGGACTGAACGAAGAACACAAAATTACCAGAATTGATACCACCTGACACACACCTTCCTGACTACCTATGGTGTATATTTTAATGACTTTCAATAAAGCAAATTTAAATTCCACCAATCGCCTGTCTTCTATAACTGATGCATGTGAATTCTAATGACATTTCTGGTTTCTGTATGTATCTTTTTCAAGATAAGCATGCCTCGATTCCAACTTCATGTTGACATATGATTTTGTAAAAATGGATACCAAGAGAAGTCAGCAACTGCCCCCCCAGTTCCAAACCCAGCAGGAGACACATCCTGAGAATTCCATAAACAAACTAAAGGATCTAATCTGTGGGCCCAAAGCCCCAAGAATCCTCAGACATTTCACTGCCCCCTCCCCTCAGTCATCCTCATCAGGCACTCTGACAAATATGCTGGTTGATACAGCTATGCAGCAAATGGGCCAATAAGTATAAACAGCTGTACTTACATGTGTCTGGCTTGAGCTGACTGTTGGTGATGCCAAAGTACTGGGGATTTTCAATGACAGGGATCTTGGTCATTCCAATAATGACGGCATCAGGGCCGCCCTCTGAAGATGACGGGGTATTACTCCCATTGGAGATGTGGTGGAGTGGGCTCGCAGAGTCATCATCATTGCTGATAACTGAAGCTGGACCTGGAGTTGGAAAAAATGCATATTCGCCTGTAATTGTTTAATGCTTTTATTGAGCTATAATTCACATACATAAAACTCACTCAAAGTGTAAAATTTAGGGGGTTTTAGTATATTCAGAGTTGTGCAACCATCGCTACAACCTAATTTTAGGACCCTTTCATTATCCCAATTAGCAATCACTCCCCATTCTCCTCACTCCCAGCACTAGGCATCCATGAATTTACTTTCTATCTGTATGGATTTACCTATTCTGAACATTTCATATAAATGGAATCATATAGTATGTAATCTTGTGGGACAGGCTTCTTTCCTCTAGCATAATGTTTTCAAGGTTCATTCACGTTCTAGCATGTGTCATTATTTTATTCCTTTTTATTGCCAAATAATATTCTATTGTGTGGATATGCCACATTTTGTTTATCCATTCATCAGTTGATGGACATCTGGGTTGTTTCAACTTTTTGGCCATTATGAACAATGCTGCTATGAGCATTTGTGTACAAGCCTTTGTGTGGACATACATTTTCATTTCTCTTGGATGAAATTGCTGGGTCATGCGGTAGCTCTATGTTTAACACTTTAAGGAACTGCCAAATTGTTTCCCAAAGTGGCCACACCATTTTATATTCCCACCAGCAGTGTGTGAGGGTTCCAATTTCTTTACTTCCTTCTCTTGTATTTAGTATGCAGCTTTCCACTCCGCCCTCTGAACATCGTTAGAACACTCTCTCACGGAAACGCCCAGCATGAATCTAGGACTCTTGTTTCATAGTTCACTGAAAGATGTGCTAGAAGTTCAAAGATCTGAGCTCTTTCCCACTCTTCGGACAAGTCACTTACCTTCTTTGTACCTCTACCTCTACTCACACTTGTAAAATGTGCAAAATGATACCTGCTTGTTATTGTATGAGACTGGAATGAGACTACTGATATGAAAATATATTGAAAATTTAAATGGCTTCTTGAGTATGAATTACTACTGGGTATTACTAAATGAATTTACAACTGGTGGACTAGAATTACATTGGACTGTCCTATTCCTGTGTTCTTCTTTCTGGATATTCTGTCAGTAGCTGCATCACTTTTGCTTACAAAAAAATGGATCCATCCCATGGTGAAGTTACCTGCTTTGCCTTTAGCCAAAATATTATTTGTAGTCATTCCATGGATGTCTTTATACTAAAGCAATGACTATAGCATAGCATTTTTTGTACAAGATTTAAACTTTCAGTACAGAGTCTCAGACTGTATATGCCCATAAATACGATCTACCATGTCTGTCTAAGCAATTTATCCATTGACCATTAAATCCATACTGTTTGCAACCAAAACTAGATTCACAAAGATAAAAATCTACAGGAAAGCTTTAAAACAATTAAGCTCTCAGTGGCTCATGACAGGCACTCCATGTATGAAACGTAGACAAAGCCTTCTAGACATTTATTTATTTATTTATTTTTATTTTTATTTTTTGATGAGGAATATTGGCCCTGAGCTAACATCTGTTGCCAATCTTCCTCTTTTTGCTCGAGGAAGATTGTCGCTGAGCTAACATCTGTACTAATCTTCCTCCATTTTGTATGTGGGACGCCGCCACAGCATGGCTTGACGGGTGGTACGTAAGTCCACACCCAGGATCCGAACCTATGAACCCTGGGCTGCGGAAGCAGAGCACACGCACTTAACCACTACGCCACCGGGTGGACCCCTCAAGACATTTATTTTTATTACGCATGATTCTGCGGTGTGCCAAATGGGTGCAGGGTCCCACAGAAGGCAACCACTGGCAAGGGCTACTGACAGGAGCCAAGAGGAAGATAAGGAGGAAAGGATAAGGAGGAAAGACAAAAGGAAGCCAGAATGGAATACACAGCCAAGGCAAATGCCTACTAGGGAAGGAAAGTCTAAATCTCGACTTCCTGAGAAAGGGAATGTTTTCACGCAAGCTCCCAGGATGCATATTTCAGCACCTCCATCCATTCCCTACCTTGTCCCTCACATTTAACTATTTCAATAAGAAGCACAGGAATTCTAAAAACAAAAGGTTTTGTGTCATACATTTTTGAATCCTCTATGAAAGGTCATGGTAATCCATCCCTCAACCTCAAGAGTCGTTTCTCCCTCATATGGGGATTATCACAGCTTGTAGTGATAACAATTGGACATTCCCCAGCTAGCTGAATCTTAAACAAACTATGCAGGAGGCAGCCAACTGCTATTATAGGTAATTTTTTAAAGCATTCTCTCAAGGGGATGTGCATTTAAGTTGCCTTTAATGATACACTCTGGCTTAATTCTGCAAACAAGTCCTCACACAGCCAATTTAGAAGCCACAGAACACTCAGAGAAAGGCAAGTACATCAGTTATGCTCATCTTGTGCCTAGCTTGCCAGCGTTAGTCGAGAGTGGAAATTCTGCCAAGAATAGCTATAAAGACAAGTTATTTCTAATATCCTTAACCATCCTGTTTTATGATTTGCTTCCTGACAGGCCTAGATCACCAGAGCTTAAGCCCAGAGATGGAAAAGGGAATGTGTTATGCTAAGGTTTCTGCATCTTGTCAATAAAAACTCCCCACCGCTGGCTCTCTCGCTGTGTTCCCGGTGCAGCTGTTCGCCCCCCCGAGGTTACCAAAGCTCGCTACTGCCCGAGCTCCCCAAGGGGGTGAAATCAAGGCCACACATTTCTCAACAGATTCCAGGTTGCGCGTTTACCCCGAAATGCAGGAATTGTCATCTTCGAATACTCTACATGCTGTCAGAAGGCCAGCGATATGCTTCTGGAGCCCCTGCAATGATTAGAAGTGCACTGGTTCCAGTTGCTTTCTTCTCTGATTCTCCTTTGGCTCAGGTCAAGCTATCAACATTCCCGTGGCATGCAATCATTTTGGAGGAGGTTGATACCTAGAAGGAAATGTTGAGATTCCTCAAGGAATTCGGGCTCTGAATCATCTGCCACGTACACAGTGGAGCCATGATTTAAAGAGTTCAACCAAGGGACTTGCTCTTTGCTTCTCTTCCTCCATCGAAGAACACTCTGTCCCTTCCTTGGCCTCTCAGAGTAAAACCCCAAATCTGAGGTAACAGATCTCAAGGGACTGGGCTCTCTGGGGGGAAAATTTTAAGCATAGAAGCAGCATAAAGCACCAGAGGTAATTTTTCAAAAGCCTTTTCACTTTGCCAGAAGGTCGCTGTTGACAAATCTGAGCAACATACAGACCTCAACAATTTATCAAGTGGAATATTAATTCAAGTGCTGTTTTCTTCATTATTGATGTTCCAAGTCCTGGAAGATTGATGTAGCTGGCAAGGTTGCAGGGATTCAGCCCATTTTTCTCTGAACATTTTGATCTAATGGAGCACAGCAAAGTTGGGAAGGGGGAAAAGCTCTCGGCAGGGACAATGAATGTCTACATGATGTGACAGCAGCCTGTCTGTGCACATCACAGGATGCGTCTGTGTGTCTGTGCCTGTGCTTGACAAGGCACCACAAAAAGACAGGCAGAAGAAGAGTCAGGGGCACGTCACAGCGTGTTATAAGAAATTCATAAGAGGACTTGAAAAAATGTCTTATCATATTAATAAAAAGTTTTAAATTGCTAGGTCTGTGCATCTTGCTGAGTTTGGGGTAGATAGTTCTAATTACCAAGCTGACAAATAGGAGCTATGCCTGGAATCATTTTTAGCCCATTTTTATTTTAATATGTCTCAGGTGCAAAGAGGCAGCTTCCTTTATCTGAGCTGCTCAGTAACATATCCTGCACGTATGACTTTGCAGACATTTCTAAGCCCAACTTAGACTTATTTTCCTGTGATAAGAATTCATGAAGGTCATCTGGGAAAGGAGTTTCCCTCTCTCAAGACCAAAAATGCCTTCAAGGTGAGGGCAGAGGTTATTGTTCTTGAGCAGCTGTGTTAACCATGTCTTGTCCTTTCTGTATTCTGGTGCTTCCACATCCAGGGCCTTGCTGACCCTGGAGGGCCCGCCCCTCCCAGGGTGAGCCAGCGCCAAGACAGAGTAAAGAACTTGCCTGCGAGTGTCCCTTCCATGTACAAACCAACCAATCCACAGTCTACACCCCCAACCACATTCCTTATCAGGCTGTCATACTCCAGGCCCCTACCCACATGTCCTTTCCGCCCACAGCCAGATACCAGACACCTCGGGATAGGACACCACTAGACCCGAGAGCCCTCTGAAGTTACTCAAACTAGCCAGTCCTAAACCCACCCTGCCCGCCCAATCCTTCCTGCAGAAATCACAATAAAGGCTCTCATCCTCGGTTTCCCCTTAGTCTCTCTGCCTCCTGACCAACCCGGGTGCTGCCCGCTGTGTCCCATCTCCCCCATGGCATGGCGTGGCCCCTCCTCTTGGGAACTGTGAGTAACAAACCATCTTTCCACTGGCCGTTGTCTCCTAAACTATTGGCCTCACTATGCCCAAATAATAATAAAACCTACATTTTAAAGCAGCAGCACCTCTGATGAACTGTAGCTGCAAGAACAATTCTGAAGAAGGATTCTCTCTGCTGTGGCCTAAAGGGTGAAATTCTGTTTTTGAAGCTTTCCTGGAACAAGCACCTCTCTGCAGGGCAAACTGGCCTAGAAACCATTTTGGTGGTTCCAGTGATTTGCTCTTCAGTGGAGGGAAGACCCCACCTCACAGTGCTGCTGTGGGAGAGTTTATCACGTGACTCCCCCCATCCCCACCACACACACACACAGAGCACAAAGCCTTATACCAGGGCACCTGAAGATTGTACAAGCAGGACAGTCCCTCTGGCATCAGCAAAGTTACCGTGGTCAGCTGTGTCTGAAATTTGCCCCAAGGGAGTGGCTGACAAGTCCTGAGCTGGTTCAGCTTAACATTCCAACTTTGCCACATCTCCACTTTCCTTTCGCTGGTTAAGAGCTTTTACCCTGGAATTCATGGGGCTCATTAAGGGTCAGGGTGACTATTCACCTTTCAGGCCCTCTCTGGCTCAGTCTGCTTTGGCCTGC